CCTATAATTAACCTTAATTTATTTAAGGAGGCTATTATTTAATATATAGACTTATATCTTATATATTAAAAGATTTATAATATCCTATAAGATAACTATAGCTATAATATTTGCCTTTAAATACTATAACGCTTTTTATAAACTAACTATATTTACTTATAAGTATAGATAAATAACTAAGATAAACTTATTAAATATATCTAAATATTATATTTTACCTAGAACCTTACTAACTTTAATATTTATAAATAACTACTTAATAAAGGTTTCTAATTATTACTATTTTAAGTTAGCTTAATCTACTATTAATAAAATATATACTAATAATAAGATATTATATATTAAGATATTATATAAAAGTAGGTATAAGTATATCTTTAGAATAATTTTACTATTAAGTAGTATATAATTAATAATAGCTAAATATTCCTTATAGTATATATATATAAGGCTAGTATTAATATTAGCTATAATACTTTATATAAGGTTTATTATAAGGTATTCTTTAAAAACCTTTAAGATTATTAGAAATAGGTAGAAATACTATATATAGACTTTAAAACCTATAGTCTTAATTAGATTTAGTCTATTAATAGCTATAAAAAGCTATAACTATAGGGGTTTAAGATTTATATAGGAATTAATATATATTTATATTATATTACTTAGTTCTATATTAGTATTTCTATAATAACTTTATAGAGTATTATATAATAATATATTACCCTATTAAATATATAAAAGATAATACCTACCTAATTATAATCTAATTATAGTAATAAGACTACTATTATTACTAGGCTATACTAGTTTCTTTCTTAAAATAATATACTAGTATAATACTAAACTTATAATAATACTAATAAGTTATAATATTTTTAAAAGCTATAAGGAATATCTTAGGAGTTTATATTTATAAAAGTATAGTTATATAGCTAAAGTATTTATAATATATATATTAAAGGATAATAATACTTCTTAAGTATTCTTATTAAATACTAATAAATAAGTAATTATTAATAACTATAGATATATATATTAATATAACTATTTAGATATATTTCTTTATACTTAATAACTATAGCTTATTCTTTATTAATAATCTTATAAATAAGATTATTATTCTCTATTTATATATACTATTAATTTAAAAAGACCTTTATACTTTTATATATAAATAGAATATCTATTATATATATATATAAGAAGGTAAAATTACTAATTAACTAAATATTTTATATTATAACCTTAGCTATAATACTAAGCTAAATTATAAATTCCTATTACTTATTAATAATATAGAAGTATTAAACTCTATCTTTAAAATATTAAATAATACTATTAATATATACTTACTATAAATTATATACTAGATTTATAATAAGATTATTTAGTATAAGTTTAGTAGTCTACTAAAGGTAGGTAACCTAAAAATACCTCTTTTTCCTATTTACTTATACTTATATAAGTAACTTAATTAATATTAAGCTAAAGGAACTTTTCCTAAATTAGCCTTATTAAAGCTAGTTACTAATACTTATATAAGGCTTAATAAATTATTATTATATAAGGATATTATTATTAATATAATCTAAGAGTTTATTATAAGGGAATAACCCCTTTTTTTTATTTTCTTTATTTTTATCTTTTTTTCTTATTTCTATATTTAAAATATAAAATATAAAATAAATAATAATATATAATATTTATCCTTTTAATATTTACTTTTTTATATAAATTAGAAAAACCCTTTTATCCTCTAGTATTATTAGTATATCCTCTTATATAATAGTACTAATAGTATTACTCTTTATCTTACTAGCTATCTTATCTATAAGCTTTACTAAGCTAGGTAAATTACTAGTAATAAAGAGAGCTTATATAATCTCTTATTTAATATTAAGCTTTAAATCTAATATATTTAGCCTTTAAGTTATTATTTTCTTTATTAATAGCTTTATTTTATAAAATAAAGCTTATAAATTAATATAAACCCTCTTTATTATATATAAACCTATTATTAATTACTTTTAATTATCTAAATATATTATTAAAAAATTAATTATAATCTTTTTATTTAATTAATTATACTTAAATACTATTAAAAGCCTTTTAATTATTATTATTTACTAAATACTAGTATAGTAATTAATAATATTTAAAGGGGATTTTAGGATAATTATAGCCTTAACTTCTTACTCTTTATCTAATAATACTAATAATATAGGATTAATACTATTTAATATAATTAATAATAGTATATCTCTATATAACTAGTATTTAAACTATAGATAAATATATTATTATAATATATATTTATTAATATAGTTTAGACTAGATATTATTTAAAGTATTAGAATATTCTTAATATATTTATTTTTAATTATAATATTAAATAGTTAAAGTATAAATATAATACCTTTATTATTTATTTTTAGCTAAGTTATAATAGAACTAGCTTATCTTATTTATATACTATTTAAAATAATACTCTATATTATAACCTAACTATTAATAAAAAGGCTTTAAAGTATAACTTAAATTAAAAGTATATTTATATTATTTATTAAGTTAAGTATAATAAGGTTTTTATTATTAATTATAATTAACTTTATACTTAAAATATTATAATTATTTAAAAAGGGCTTTTAAATAGTTTCTTTTATAAGTAGTAGTAATTCTTATATAGATAGATATAATATTAAGTAGTAATAAAAATATATATCCTAGTCTAGATATTACTATACTAACTTTTAATACTATATACCTATTTTTAGGTAATATTTCTTTATTATAATAAGTATTAATATTAATTAAAGAAAAAGGGTTATATAAAGTTTTTTCTTTTATATATAAACTATTATTACTTATATTTAACTATAATATTTAATAAAGTACTAATAAATATACTTAAATATATATTTAACTATATTTTACTTAAATTCTTACCTATTTAATAAATACTATAGTAATCTATTACTATTATACTTATATAATATTATATATACTTACTATATTTAATATATTCTTTTATATAATAAAAAAGTATAGTTTAGCTATAATTATTATTAGTTAATAATATATATAAGTAATATTATATAATACCTTTTAAGAAGTATTAGTATACTTAAAAAGAGTATATATAGTTTATATATATATTCCTAGCTAGCCTTTAAAGCTAAATATAGTTAATAAAGATATAATTATAATTTTAATACTTTAAATAAGCTATCTTATATTCTTTACTATAAATATAAATAATTATTATTTTAATATTCTAAATATATAATAAATTTAATAATTAGCCTTATTTATAATTATATATTAATATTAAATTTAGTTAAAATAAATATATAAGTATAAACTATTTATATATAATATTAAGCTATTTATTTATAAGAATATTAGCCTTTATAAGTACTTAAGCTATTAACTTTTTAGTATTATTAAATTAAGCTATAAAAGTTATAATAACTAGTAATATTATATTTATAATAGTAATTAGTATAATAAAAAAAGTTATAAATTTATAAAATATAATTCTACTAGTAAATAGTATATATAGCCTTAAATTATATTTTATATTATATAAATATAGATATTAATATACTAAAAATAATTATATACACTCTTAGTGTGTGCCTAGTGTATAAACCTTAATATAAGCATGTAAAATGCGTTTTAGCGATAACTCACCTATAGGCTGCCGTACCCAGTGGTGGGGCGATGGGCATTGAAGCAACCCTTGTTTGCTGAGCGGGCCTTGGGCGGCGACAATGGCCAGTAACTAATACAAGCAATTTTGGCTGCAAAAAAGAAAGATGGAAAAAAAAATAAAAGGCGCCGCGCAACCGGGTTTCCTTCGATATTACCTACCGAATGGACCATCCTTCAAATAACTACCTAATGAATTGTAAGCAGTCACGTGTGCCAACGGTATCGCTAACGTTAGACTGTCCTGGGGTTTAAAACTGCCCACTCTATTAAACTTCCACGGTACACCGTCTTCGGATGGCACGGCGGGGAAGAAAACGAAAAAGCCAGCCTCCAGAAGCCAAAACTGCCCATTATTCTGTCACAGGGCTGCTAATAAGGCTGACGGGACGCTCCGAAGCCAGGCAACCTACAAGCACCAACCTTCGATGCCCGACCACTCCCTCGACAGGTTTGCTTCGGCACAACCTCCGTCTAATGCTTGCCTGTGAATCCCGAAAGCGATGCTACTCCTCTTGCAACACTCTCTTTATCGGACCCAATAACTCAGCGGGTACCTGTGGATTGGCGAAAATTCGACTTGCTTCAGAACAAAGGCACTTCCGGTTCTCGGCACCCACAGGATCCACAGGGTTGACAGTGTCAGTACCTTGAAGCTCGAGCGTGATATGGTAAGGATTACAATACGGGCTTCCTCGCGGGTTTCCATGGTTGATGGTTGCCGCGTTGTTTTTCGCTTGCTCATCAAAGTGGGCTAGATAGACGAAATCATCCTGCTGGGTCCCGGCTCTGACTTGTGAGTTGCAATTTTAAGAAAATTCTCACTCCATGTCTTGGATAGAAATCTGTTTCCTTATACACTATTATTTTAAAAATTTAACATAGGTCTTGTCTTTTGCTTCTACAGAGCAGCCCATGCGCAACCTCCGGTGCTTGTAAAGCCGGTGAGAGGGCCAGTCATCAACCCAGCAGAGAAAGTATACATCGTGTTGAATCAAAATTTACCGAGTTGTCTGGCATCGCAAAACAACCGCCTTTACAGAACAGCCAAGATACCAGCAAACAAGATTGCAGCCCCGGCGATCGGACCTGAGGTTGCCGCTGCTCCTGGCGATGCGGTCGACGGCGTGGCCGTAGAGCTACTGGAACCACCAGACGAAGCTGCTGAACTCGTGATGGTCGCCGTGTTGTTACCAGTCGCACCCGAGGAGGACGGCGACGCTGTTGCGGTGGGAGCCGGGGTGCTGCTCGCAGCTTGGGCAGAAGCAGTCGCCGCCGCGCAAAACTTGGCCGCGCCAGGAAGGACTTGTCCTATGAAAACAATTAGCCAAGATCAGGCAAAGAAGGAAACCAAGGGGCGAAATTGGCCTGGTGGGAGCTTACTCAGGGCCTTGTCGTTTCCACATTCCGTGAGAACGCAGGCAACGCCGGCGTTGTAAATGTCTTCGTAGTTCTTCTGGACACACCAACACACGGCATCGGTGAGGGAGCAGGATGTCACTTTCTGGGTGGCGTCGTCGAGGCACTTGAGAGCGCACTCGGGCAGGAAGTCGGCGCGGTTTTGGGCGGTTACGGACCAGATGCTGGAAGCAACGACGGCAATGGTGGTGACCTTCATTGTGGAATTGGATCGTTGAGTTAGTGGTAGGTTGAGTTGTATGAATCGAGCAGTGCTGTCAGTGCGAAGAGGTTGAAAAAACTAGTTCACGGAAGACTCGACAAGCCAGCCGCACTTTCGACCGGCAGTCTAGGCGGCCGTTTAAGTACCAGAGCCCGTGGTGCATTGACTCCAAGCGACAAAAGCCACCATTCTCAGCTGGCCGACCAAACCCGCCGACGGGGCTCTGAATGTGGCTTTTCGTCGAACGCCCATTGTCTCTGGCAACCCGTCAAGGACGAATCCTTATCGAGAATTCAGCGCGTGAAAGTGGGCAAGAGGCGCCCGAACCGGTCTGGAACAGGAGCTCCCCAGCTTTCTTAGCTGAGTTGCGCCGCAAGGCTTGCCGACAGGGAACTCATTCGTTAGTGTCTTGGCTTGGGGGACGGAGTTGAAGACCAGGTCCGAGATGGCTCGCGCGGTCTACGACGCTTTCGGCGGTTCCAAGAGCTTCCACTCCCAACGATTTCAAACTAGCGACTTGCTAATTTAAAATCCAATGCCAGAAAAAAAAGAACGCTGGGCTGTCTTGATCACCTTGCGCCGGTCGTTGTTGTGTGAGTGGAGGAAATGTGGCTTACTGAGCGGCGTTATTAGAGTGGCCATGATCTGATAAAAATTTTATCTGATCATCAGATAAGATGCCCACCTCCTGCTTCACCGTCTGCCTCGGCAACAGTTCCTTTTCCAACAACCAGGCCCGAGCTGCCCTGTTCCTACTCCACAACCAAAAATCAATCTGGGAACTGGGTCATTTTCGCTCAACCGCAGAATAGAATCGACATCTTGTCCGTAGGCCCTGTACAAGTGCCGGCAGCCGACCCCCCTGCGTCAGCCGTGTGGTACTATGCGGCACATGGGCGGTAGCTGAGGTCTTCGCATGCTGCCGAATTCCTAATTGCTCCGAGCTTGGCAATCCATCACCCCCCTCCCCTCTCTAACTATCCATCCACCCTTGGCTTGCAATAAGAACGAACATGCATTAGTTTGATGGAGCCAAAGCTATGCGCAACTTGTTCATTCGCTCGAAGCAGCTTTGCCCGCATGGCCGTCTCCGCCCGTCGCCACCTGCTACCTTTTATGCATATTGATCGGAGCAAGCTCGCTGATAGAAATTGATCTGCCATTGTTTTTTCCTCAACTCAGATTTTGCAAGGCTTTAAAGCCCGCCAAGCCCCCCCAGATTTACGACTTGTTCGCTTGTGTCTCTCGGCGCTGCTGATCGATACCCTCCCTGTCCCCTGTCTTTAAAAAGACTCAGCTGGCTCTTCAGAATTTTGCTGATTTCTTTATCGGCGTATCCACCCTTTTTGTCGCTATCCTGACTTTTTGCTGTCGTATACTCCTCCCCCGGCACCCTGAAAGGATGGGCTTCTTCGGTAGAAAGGCCCCCGCGGCTGCAGAGGTTGGCACTGCGGCGCCAGAATCGGCCGCGTATGAAAAGGGAACGGCGACCGAGCGATCCAGCGAGGAGGACTTTGGGACTACCAAGCAGGCTGGTGTAAGAAAGGTTGAGGCGGCGGCCGAGGCCTGGACCAAATGGCATCTCGCCACCGCCTATGGGCTGTGAGTACTTGACCTACAGCCGGCCATTTCCCGGAGACTCTTGAGAAGCTCTTGATGGACTAACGAATTACGCAAATGGCAGAATCTGGCTCTACTATTTTGCCACTTCTACGGCCGAAGTCGTCACGCGAACCCTCAACCCGTTCGTGACGAGCTCCTTCGGCAAGCACTCGACGAGTGCCGCCGTCAACATCCTGTCCTCCATCATTGGCGGCTTGACCAAACTGCCACTGGCCAAAATCCTGGATACCTGGGGCCGCCCCCAAGGACTCGCGTTGATGCTGCTGATTTGGTGTCTCGGATACATCATGACCGCCTGCGCCAAAACCATCGAAACATATGCTGCGGCTCTGGTATTTTCCGCGGTCGGGTAAGCTACCCCTTTCACACAATTATAGAAGACGGGTGAAATGTAGTAGAATGAGAGACTAATACAAGAGTGTCATATAGAGCCCAAGGTGTCAGCTACTGCGTCACCGTCTTCATCGCCGACACCTCGTCCTTGAAGAACCGAGCCCTGATGCTGGCCTTTGCCACGTCCCCATACATCATCACCACCCCTATTAGTGGTTTCATTGCCAAGCGTATCGTAAAGGATGCTGGTTGGCGATGGGGTTTTGGACTCTGGGCCATTGTGATGCCCGTCATTGTGCTCCCACTGTGCTTCGTTTTCCTTTGGAATCAGCGCAAGGCCAAACGACAGGGCTTGTTGGAATCCAAAGGTACAAAAATCACGCCTCGCTCCGTCTACAACTATCTCGTCGAGGTCGATATTGTTGGTCTTCTGCTGCTGGCTGGTGGCTGGGCCTTGTTCCTCTTGCCATTTTCTCTGTACTCCTACCAACCCCAGCAGTGGCGCGCACCCATCATCATCTGCTTCCTCATCTTCGGGGCCCTTCTTTTGGCCGCATTCTGCGTCTGGGAAAAGTTCTTTGCCCCGGTCACCTTCATCCCCTACAAGCTTCTCATGGATCGCACAGTCTTCTTTGGCGGCCTCATGTTTAGCTTTCTCTTTGCCAACTCGGCCATTTGGGGCAGCTACTTTACTTCCATGCTCTTGGTGGTGTGGGATTTGGGCGTTGATTCGACAACGTGGATCAACAACATTTACCGCATCGGCTCTTGCTTCGCGGCCATTATTCTTGGTCTTCTCATGCGCTTCACTGGACGCTTTAAATGGGTTGCCACCTTTTATGGAATTCCCTTGATGCTTCTCGGTGTGGGCCTCATGATCAAGTTCCGTCAGGCCAACGAGGAAATTGGCTATGTCATCATGACCCAAATCTTTGTCGCCTTTGCGGGTGGCCCTATTGTCGTTGCTGGTGAGATGGCCATGATGGCCCCCTCAGACCATCAACATGTCGCCGTCGTCATCGCCATCCTCGATCTATTTGCTAGTATTGGCTCTGCAATCGGCTCCACCATCTCTGGTGCCATCTGGACCGGTACATTCAAGAAGGAGCTGACGAAACGCCTGCCATCCGACGCCCCTATCGATGCCATCTATGCTCGGCTCGAGAACCAGCTTGGCTATGAAAAGGGGACTGCTATCCGCGCTGGTATTGCAGACGCCTACTCTGCCTCGCAGCGATATATGCTCGCCACAAGCGTCTGCTTCTTGGCTGTCGCCTGGGGTTGCGCTTGGGTGTGGAGAGACATTAACATTCACAAGAAGAGGCAGGTTCAAGGAAACGTTGTTTAAAAAAGGGCCTTCACAGTTGATTGGCACTTTTTCGTGACGGCCTCATGGGTGCAGGCTGCCCATTTGGCGCTTAGGTGTATTAGTGAGGAAATTGGAATTGGCTGGAGGGTTTCTCAGGATGTTGTCGAGGGTCCAAATATGGCACAATTCAAGTTTGAAGATAATAGTAAATTAGTAAATTGAAAGCTTTCTGAGACGAATTGTCTCTCTCCATATGCTGCGGGTGTCTTTAACTTGCCGCTGTTGGATTAAGAATACCCCTGCTGACTGTGAAAGTCAGTTGCTCACATGCTAAACTCTACGAGTTGAAAGAATCAGGACAATGCTGATGACAAAAGGTGCGACCGAGTAACCTGGCGCTTCGAATTGTGCAAGTAACCTTCCCGCACGAACAACTCAAACTCTGAGTCGCTTCCTCCACTCGAGATCCTCCATCACGACCGGCTCTGGACTGTTTCGCAATGTTTCCTCGAAATAAAATTCCGACATGTTATTCCGAGACATTGAATACGTTTCCTCACTTGGAAATCGATGCCCGACGAAAGTTGCCGCTATTGACAAACAATTCGTCATTACAGAACAAAGCTGTCACGAGGGCTATAAGATGACCACTGATAATAGCGTCAACCGAAAAGTTGGATATATATTCTATCACATAACGTGATACATAGGGGAGGAAATGGCCACCGGGCCGACTTGATGCAGTGCTACACACCCACGGCCATGGTGACAGCCTGATGTTAGCCTCATGTTACGGCCAGCTCTCCTCCCAGCCTAGCTTGACATGGCGCATGTGCATAGGCCCGTTCTAGCAAATCACGGCCTGGGACTCTATATCTTGGTCTCAGACATGGTCTTCTCTGCCTCTTGCTTCCACTCGTCGCGCCATCTGGTCAGAGGCGGACGCCCGTGGACAACATCACCGACGGTCCAGAGCATTCGCTTCTTGTCCGTTTCCTCCGAGACATCATTGTCGGGGCATATGACGTAAAACTCGTTCTTTTCCAGCTTCTTGTACAAGAAATCAGCCACCTGTTCGGGGGCCCATGCGCCGGCCGGCTTCTCCTTTGTCTGCCCGCCTCCAGTCTGGGAAATGGTAAGTGTCTTGCAACAAGGCCTGGAAGATATGGCAAAAAAAAAAAAAAAAAGAAGTCACGGGACAGAAGACAAGTCAGCGGCTAGCAGTCACTCACCATTCCTGTAAAGGTCCAGCCCGGGACCAAGAGATGGACGCTCGTGGTCGTTGCGCGGAGATCCCAGCTCAGATGCTCGGCCAGCGTCTTTACCGCCGACTTGGAGGCATTGTACGCGGCGTTTCCGGGGGGGTTCGTGATACCCTGCTTGCTGCCGGTGATGACAATGGCGGTTCGCTTCGTCTTTGCAGCGTCTTGTACCACGGGTAAGAAGGTATTGACTCCGTGAATGACGCCAAAGAGATTCGTCTCCAGAATCTACGCCTCCCCACCGTCAGCAACGTCGCCTATTTCCAGATGGTAGTGAAGAAGCAAGGGAGCCCCTACCCGGCGGAAGTAGTCCCCGTCGCCCCATGTCCCCTGGCCGCCCACGCCGGCGTTGAGCGCGAGGAACTCGACAGACCCGAACGTGGCCAGCGCAGAGTCCTTGAGCGCGGCCCAGTCCTCGGCCCGGCTCACGTCAGCGACCGAGGTCGCCACGCGCGGCCCGGACGCGTCCGCAGCCTCGCCTGCAATCTCGCGTCTCGCTGTTTCCAGACCCGCGGCGTTGCGGTCGGCCAGGAGCACATTCATTCCCTTGGCGTGGCACAGCTTTGCGACCGCGAGGCCAACTCCGGAAGCCCCGCCGGTAATAAGGGCTGTGGAACCGGGGGCGAACGCTGCGGCAGCTCCTGACATGGTGGCTGTTTTCGAATTCTGTAGGGACGGGCTTTAGTAGCACTTTGATTTCCACTATAGGGGCAGAGCTGGATTCACAGTGCTTGGTAGTACGTTTCGATAATACGTCTTTGTAAATTACAGGAGTAACTGTTGAATATGAGTGGCTGAAGCAAGATGAACACGGGCGGAAGCTTGGTCGCTAGCTCAAGCCTGCGGGGGAGATGCAGAACCAATGATGACATTGATCGAGGTTTCTGGCGGGGTAAAGTCGGACTGATGGGGTCTTGTCATTCCATCCGTGATGAATCAGAGCGCTGCATTGCGCTGTTGCCTCACTTCATTAAACTGTACGATCTATATAGGGGAAGTAGGTAGGAGGAAATTAAAGTCTCCGAAACTACGGAGTATATTGGAGAATAGGTTATGCCCAAGCTGTCTTTCACAGGTTTCGATACTACTCGGAACCGAAAGAGAATGAAAAGAAGCAGAATGAAAGGAGGCGCGGGGCAAATGGGGGGCTCACTTACAATGCCTTGTGTCCACTGGACCAGCCGCGGAACTGTCATTAGCAACAGCTAGCGCCTCCGGACAAGCTACTCGATTGGGCAGCTATTCTACAGTATTCTTTGGGTCGTGTGTGAAGGGCTCATGGGGGTTCGGGGCCCAAGGTCACATCGGCCGGCCGGCTGTGTGCCAGCGTGCTTTTATCAGAGGGATGGGCAGCGCCGAACCCGTGTACACGGGCCTGGTAAGAACCGTCGGCGTGTTTTTGATGACTCCGGGGATGATCGAACGATCCGGGCTGCGCTTTGAACTGCGGGGGAAGAGCCGACAAAGCAACTTGGACAAGACGAAGAACCAGTAACACGACGCCCCTGGCTGGCTGGCGGCGGCGTGGTGTGGCACGGACAGTGTGTTGATCCAATAACTCGGCGGGCAAGGTCAATATTTGTCCGGCACACATACTGGCGGCCCTCGGAGCGAGTCCGTTGCCAACTCTGGGTGTAAGTATTGTCCCCCCTTTGCAGCCACATGGACAATACCTTGCTTGTGACATTTCGGCGTCATGTCCTGTATTTTCATTCACTCCTTGGCCAGTTCTCGGGCTTGGCAGTGTCACGTTTCAGCAACAGGCGCGGGGGATGCCAGCCATGTCTTGCACGGCGCCGTGATGCCCAGCGTGCGGCTGCCGACGCCAGCGAGGCAAGGCCGCCCATGTGCACATCATGCAACCGGTGGTAAGCAGCCCCGACGGGCGTCGCACGGGATCGATCTACATGCCATGCTTCTCGTCAACCATGCAGACGAAATCACCGGCCCCCCCTGGCGCACCACTGAATTAGGAAGCCCCCAGTCGCGCATCCCTGTCATGTAGTCGCTGCGCATCATGGTTGGCTCAATCATGATGGCACATCCGAAAGCAGAAAGCTCGCGTCGTGACTTGCTACAGTGGACTGGTTTAGCTACATGTTCTTTCGACGCCGGGGAATCCCTCGGCTGAGCCATCGTGAGACGAGGGGATTCAATGAGTGGAATACATGTGAAGGACCATGACACAGATGAATAAAATACATTCGCGCCCGTGTTACGATCAGAGTAGGTGAGAACTTTGGAAGCCCTATGGCTCCATTGTCGGGCCTGGCCATCGATGACACGGGAACAACTCGCGAAAGCAGTGTGGCTTTTCTTTCGGAAGCGAAAATCATGGGCTAAAATCCTCTGCCGAAAGAATCACCGAACCCAAATTACGCCATGGTCCAAATCCGTCTCTGGACAAGTCGGACGCCCAGGCACACACTCCAAGCCATAAGCAAGCCACATTCACCACTACTCTAATCTGTATAGCTGCACACTTTTTTTTTTGCTGCTGTTACAGGGGCATTTATTAGTTTCTTTGTGACAAGTTGTCGGGCGCTTCCTCCGGACAATGCGCTAGCGAGCCTGGGTTGTCTAGTTATTCGTTATAAGTTATTAGTTACCAAAGAGACAAAGCAGTCGAGCGCTACACCACGGGCGGCCTTGACCTGCAGATTCTTGTTGCAAAAGACTTTGAGCCAACAGCAACCTCAACCTTTGAGCCGTCATCGCCAGAGAGGCGCGCCTGCTGTGACCGAGCAGCGCTTCCGCTCAGGATGGGCTGGCCTACCAACTGACAAAGTGCGAGTCTAACTAGAACTCTATGGAAAATGACAACGCCGAAATGCCCTTTGTTTGAGAGAGCCGCGGCAACCTCGCCGCACGCACGTGTACAAACCTTCGCTATCGGGCCGTCCGTGAAGAGGATGCCCATTCGCAAATAGTTCCTACAACGACGTAGCATCCACGATGAGGTCTAGACGTTTCTCTCGTCTCTTCTTTCTCTTTGGAAACCATGAGCGTTCGCCCCACTGCCTGGTGCCAAGTAAACTCAATCTTTCCACCCCCCCTCCCCCCCCTTGAGGACTCGATTCCCGTCATCTGGTAGCTTTGTGTCCGTTGACCCTTGCGCCGCGCGCCACTTTCCCCCGACCCTCATGCGACGTTTCGCAACGCACCGACTGGCGAATAGATTCCCGAGGATGCCCTGGTTCGGGCGCTACCCCCCCTCTCCCCTCGTGAAAGAGGGTGTGAGTATACGTATTTCCCGTTGGGCTTTTGCTGCGAACCAAAAAAAATGTCGCGGTTGACCTTGCCAAATGACTCCCAGCACGACCGACAAGGCGGGAGGAGGGGGGGTCACGCAAAGTCGGCGCAGGAATATCTGTAACAGAGGTTTATATACTGGATGAGAGATGCTCCGATTCATTCATGCTCGCCAGTCAAGCTCCGATTCATTCATGCAACCCCCTTTCCTTTGCCGCCCTGTATCAAAGAGTTGAGCTCAGCTTTGTATATAACCGTTTTTTGGCCCATCTTCGGAAACCATTTCATCCTTGATTTCTTCTTTCTACTTTCGAAGCCCCCTCCCAGCTTGGTTCTTCCACGCAAATAGCACAGCCTCAAAGTCATAACAGCTACAGAGAAAGGCTAGCAAGCATGGTCAAGGGTGGTTTCATCTCGTCTCTCCTGTCCCTGGCCGCCGTCGCCCGAGCCTGGAACGCGCCCAACTATGGCGGCTTCAACCTCGTCTGGCAGGACAACTTTGGCGGCAGCGCCGGCCAACTTCCCAACGAGGGCAACTGGAACATCATCGACGGCAACCTCGGCATCAATGAAGAGCTGCAGACGTACAAGCGCAACCCCCGCAACGTGCAGCTGAGCGGCGGCGACAGCTTGCAGATCGTGCCCTGGCGCGACGGCAACGGCTGGACGTCTGGCCGCATCGAGTCCAAGTACACCTTTACGCCCGAGGCCGGAAGGATCACCCGCGTCGAGGGCGCCATCAAGTTTGGCGACAACGGCATCGAGCATAAGAAGGGCCTGTGGCCTGCCTGGTGGATGCTCGGCAACATCTTCCGCCAGAATAAGCAGTGGCCTGCCTGCGGTGAGCTGGACATTCTCGAAGCCGTCAACGGAGAGCTCATCGGCCACGGGACCATGCATTGCGACGTATCTCCCGGTGGCAAATGCAACGAGGGCGCCGGCATCGGCTCCACTGTCAATTTTCCCAACCAAGACTGGCATACCTGGCGCCTCGAGATTGACCTTCGTCCCGGGAACTGGGTTGACCAGACAGTTGTATGGTATCTGGATGGCCAGGAGTTCCACCGCATTCCTGGTTCCACAATCAACAACTACGACATCTGGCACGCTGTTGCCCAAAGCCCGCTCTACTTCATCCTCAATATGGCCGTTGGTGGCAAAATGGTAAGCAGCGCCTCCCCTCCTCTCCTTTCCACTCTCAGGGCACGAAGTCCGATGCTAACCCACATGGCAGCCCGGTTCCCCCAACGGGGAAACCTTCGACGGCTATGGTAGCATGATGGAAGTCGGCTACACTGCCCACTACGTCAGCCAGTAAACGACTTGGCTCATGGAACGAGTTGCGCTTTAGACTGGGAGGCCGAATCGGTCTGGCACGCGCAAAGCGGAATCCCACCTTTGCGTTTTTCTGTTTATTTTTTTCCCTTCTTTGTCTATATTCTCCACGGCCGTCTCACCGCGCCATTGTCCATACATCCGCTCGCTTTCGCTAAGATCGTACCTATACAATCGTTAGAAATACAGACTGTACATACTCTGCACTCGGCCCGTCCAGCGTGTGTACCCTACCAGGTCACTGATCCTGGGCGCTCATCAAACTTGTAGCTCATCCATGGACTGGAGGATTTCTTGGACCTTTTGCTCGGTTTGCTGCCGGCGCTGGTCCTGTAGTTCGTACATGGCTTGCATCTCTTGCACCATGAAAGGCTTGAGCGGCGCCTTCTTCGCGGCTCGGTAATCGTACACGGCAATATCTTCAAAAAAGCGAGCAGCGGCCCTTTTATGCTTGTGTGAATAAGCAACTGCTTCCATAAGGACTCTGTCAGACGTGCTATCGGGCTTTGTGACCAGCTTGTGAAGCACCGTGACCTGATCTGGAAACGTCATCGGCTGCCAGAAGCAGAGCGAGGTCAGCAGGTTGGAAATTCCAGCGTAAAGAAGCCCAGCTTTCCATCGTCAACGTACGAATTTATAATCGGTTCGGATACTAGCCAGAATCAGGCCAATGCCTCTTGGTGACATGAGTTCTGTAAATTCTCGCCGATTTTCAGGTGCGACATGAGCCGCGACATTCATCATCCAGTTGACGCGGCCTGATTCTGCGAATCGGTTATACATGACATTGTTGACATGACCTATGTTTATCAGCTCGTTCAATTCTCAAAATGCGAACAGCAATCGTACCCTATTGTGTTGGTTAGCCGGTGTGTGGAAGTAACCCCATATTTGTCGGTTGTTACTCACCATTGAGTCCTGTTTGGCGAATGCAATGAATCAGTAGAGCCCATGACGGCAGTGTATCATTAAAACGTACCATATCTCCCCAGGCAATAGCATGCTTGTCCAACCCGCGCCATTGGGGTTCAACGAGGTAGCCTTCGCGACCAGCAGATAGACCGAGCCAATGCTGGTCCAGGTAGCTCATGTGATGCTTTAGCTGCGCGACGACCTTTGGCTCTTCTGCCCTCTTTGCAATACCCGTTGAGATCCGGTGGCGCATATCGGAAAGCCATCGCGAGTTCGGCGCCGTCTCTGCCGACGAAGCCGGAGCTGCGTTGCGGTTGGTGCTGCTCAAGGCGCGTCGCGCGACGTGACGGCCCGGGCTTGCGCGAAAACGCAGCAATTGTCGTTTAGCTATCATTTTTTTCAGAGCCTCCCCGAGTATACTCGGCCAGTGATGATGTATTCAGTGAATGGCCTGTTTTGGAGAGCCGAGGGGGGCGAGGATGCTCAGTTGTAAAACGACGGACTTCCGGCCGAGCGGCGGTTCGTGTCGGCTCTAATGATTTTGAGACCCACCGACGTCATGAGCGCCGGTTTCGCTGCTCATATTAAACATGTTGGCAAGGCGAAATCGAAAAATTTGGTTTGCAATTTTTTTATAAATTTGAAGACGATCTAAGTCATTGTGATACCATGGTACTCTGACCGCGCTTACACTGAGAAGATATATTAATAATAAGACCCAAGTATAGTCATGGTTTAGCAATTTCGGCTACACAAATTATTCTTGTTTATGCGTATTATTTTATTCCCTTGTCATTTCAAACATTTTTTGTTTCTTCAAACATATTGCAAGCCAAAATATGAAGCGATTATCTGCCTCGTATGTTCGTGTTGTGGCAGCGGCTCAAATCAGGGCTACGTGCCTGCGTCCACCGCAAGGCAAGTTAAGCGGAAACTTAAACACAAGCTGGAATCATATTGTATCCTGGAGATTTAGTAAAAAAAGTAACAAAACTCAAAAGGTATCGTATAAATCATGTCAGCCGGCCCAACCCACTAACCACTTCATCCCATCCTCGCGACCCAATATCGACACAAACGAAACCCAGTGTGCAGCCTCAGCAGGCAACGGTGGTATGAAAAGATGTGCCTATTTTGCGTGAATATTCACAGCACTGGGCCTACGACTTGCTGAGGGAGTGCCACGAGGAGTCTGGCGAGGGGTGACACGACTTTCGCCAAAGAATCGGTGCTGCTGGCTGTAGCGTCGCTCAGCTCCGGGTCGCTCACCGGGTCGCTGTTCGGCACCAGAGGCTTTTGAGCCTGCGAAAAGTGTTAGCAGTAGTCTTGCTTGATGTGAAATCCTCCCAAACGCTTACCTCGTCGGCTTTCGTGGATGACACTGTTGCGGCGGCCAGGGTGTTCTTGGCGGGCATTGGCCAATTGCTGCGCAAAGGGAGAGCGGTGTCGCAAAACAGGCCCTTTCCAGTAGATGACGTAGACGGCGATGACTAGAACAAAGGAGATGCAGAACAGGATAGTGGCGGCATATTCCAGGTTCTTGCCACTGGATGCTCCAATGTTGCTGAAGAAGGGAACGGCCGGGATGGTCAAAACACCCGCCAAAAAGTCACGCTGTCAAAAATATTAGTAAAGCGGCTCTGTGCATCAAAAAGATTTGAACATACCGCCCAGCCGTTACCACCGGTAGCGGAAGCAGAGTAGGGCCCATAGGCACAGATCATGTAGTCAATGGTTGCCATGTAAATAGCGTAGTTGGCAATACCGACAATGGCAGCAAAGACCATCGAGCCGATCCAGTGAATGGGGGGGCCCTGGATGGTCCAGGCAAAACCAATCAGGCCAATAGGCAAGCAAGGGGCCAGCCAAAGCAGGAACCGGAGTCGCGACTCGTACTGAGCGCGCTCATCGTTGGGCTTTGCTGCGCGCTCCTTCATGTTGCGCTTGATGGCGGGGATGAAGAGCAGCCATGCAACGAGATAGCCGACACCGATAGGGATGAATGCAAGACCAGTCTGCACCTTGGTGAAGTGCCATTGTTCATAGACGAGACCGAAAGACTGAATGAACATGAAGATGAGCGCATCCGAGAAACCGGAGAGGAGCGACAGGACCAATACGATGGGCTCGGTGAGAAACATCTTGAAAGGTCGTCCCCAAGTCGACAGAATCTCGCTCACGGAGAAGCGGTCACGGTATGGGACGAGCTCGTCGGGGCCCCAGATATTCTCTCCGTTCTGGGTGCGGCGACGTTTTGCGATGCGGTTCATCATAATCGTGCTGCGAGTCTCGGGGACGGTCAAGAAGTGAAGAATCTGAACGAAGCCGCCGAGAATGAGCTGCACCCACATTGCCCATCTATAAGAATGGTTAGCATGACGGCAAGTGATAGTATTTTAAAAAGGCATAGTTACCTCCAGTGGAGATATTGCTCGACAAATCCACCGACAATAGGCCCCAATACGGAACCTCCGACCGAGGAAAAGACGACGTATGCGACGGCGTACTGCTGGTTGTCCGCCTCCCACATGTCGGCAATCATGCCCAGAGTGACGGAGCCGCCGGCCGACGACAGGCCGCCGAGCGCGCGGCCGACCATGATAGTGGCAAAGTTGGGGGCGAGGGCGACGGGCAGCTGCCAGACGTTGACGAGGAAGAGCGACAGCTGGAGGACGGGCCAGCGGCCAAACTCCTCGGACCAGGGTGCCCAGAGCTCGCAGCCAAAGGCGTAGAGGACGAGGAAGATCATGGCGCCGCAGCGGGCGGCCTGCAGGCTGACGCCAAAGTCGTGGTGGATGCCCTCCAGGCCGTTGGAGTAGAGCGACGTGTTGAAGTTCATCGAGACCTGTACCCAGAAGATGACGGTAAGGATGTACCACTTCTTCCAGGTCGGGAACGAGAAGCCGAGTTCCTCGTAGCAGTCGTCCTCGGTGATCTCGTACTTGTCGTGCGTGCCAACCTTTTCGAGCTGCGTCCCGCGGCCGGTAGGCTGGCCGCGGCCGCTGTCGGCGTCGACCGAGTCGCTGCTGGCCGCGCCACTATCGCCGACAGGCTTCTCGGTGCTGGGCGCATTGTCGCCGGCAGAGTGGCTCTTGAGCAGCTGGTTCGCGCGCTCGAGGTCCTCCTGGTTCATGACCTGTGGAGGGTCCTCTGAAAAGTGAGTCGTCGGCATCTTGACGACAAGGGTGGTGGAACAGGCAGGTAGGTGTTGGCACTTATGTTGGTGAGTGGTGGGGGGGCGTTTGAAGATATGGGAGAGAACAGGAGGATAGAATAGAACCCCTTTCTAGAAAAGCAGCCACGTTCTGGAAAAGAAAGCCGAAGGTAAAATCGAAGAGGCAACGGACAAGAACCGGCTTTTGTGTTAGTCTTTTGGAGCGAGCGGACTGATGCTCCACCGTCGATGGAAACGCATTTGCAAGGTGACATCATATATCTCATCGAAGATGGCTAACGATGTACGGGCTAGCACTCTTGCTGCCTCACCTCAGCGGGCGCACAAAGTCGCATTGTGAGTGTTGAATACGACCAGTAAGCAAACTAGGACGATGCGCCGCATTTCTGCGCTGGCAAATGACAGTCGACGCAAACGGCAACTTTGCCATCATCTCTCCTACCTCTGACCAAGACATGGGAATACTGCGCCTGGGAGGCACGGCCACAGCTATTTGGCCCTGAACCAACGACGGAGTGTATCAAACAGAACAACTTGCCCTACTTGACACGAAATAGGTATGATTCTTCTTGGCGGCTCACGACCGAGCCGGCAAGCACGGCTGGCGTCCACTAGTAAGGATTAGTGAGCCATCGACGGGCGTGGCGTCGTGAAAATACGCCACCGAATCTACTTGGCGTCGGACTGCTTTTGTTCTTGGAGCAAGATGAAGGGCTGTTGTCAAAGATCAAGGACCCGAGTATGTTGGCGTGTCGTCATCCTAGCGAGGTCGACCCGACTCGACTCTGGGGGCTCCGTGGCTCGCATCGCCTCGCAAGAGTATGGACTTTGACTTGACATGGCGGTCTAGCATGAGACCTTGGTCTGTATCGTCGATCCGTAGAATTCCAGTTGGCCACGTCCCCGGCCGCTCCGCAGTGGCTAATAAATTAATAGTTTCTAGGAGAACGAAAAATGGACACACAACTGTGGAAACAGGTCAGTCGGCTCGGACTTCCCCCACAGCATCTCCTCTACTGCGCTCCAATAAGAAAAGTTTTTATTCTGCTGCCTGTGAGCAAAACCGGCACCCAGTGGAATGCCTCTTTGCAGTTTGTTATTAGTCTTACCCTGAATCATGTCCACCGCTAACGCTCGTCCATCCAACAGACCAAAGTGTTGTCTACTAACCAGCCTTTCACTGCATTGCAAAAATTGTGTGGCGGGTTACCCGAGAGGCTCTTCTCACGCAGCGACTGGGAGCATGGTACCTTGAATAGCCATTCCAGCCCGAATCGAGCGTACGAGCAGATGAAAGAGATTCTAACCTTGGCTCAGAATCATACGTCGCATGTACGGCGATTGAATTTCCAAGACTAAGTAACAGATTTCGATTAATGTCAACGACGTCATGGCACCTGGCGTGGCGTCGGCAGGCAGGGAATAAAGACGCCACAATTCCCGCCACAATGCTTATTGCCTTGTCTGTGCGCGACTCTCAAATCAATCTGAAGTGAGCGAGCAACAAAGAGAAGCATAGCTAGCTAATTTATATCCTTCAACGGAACCGCCGTTTTTCTGCTTCACTCCACTAATGAGCACTAAACAAGGAAAAAGAACAAGCCTGTTGTCTATTGTTTCAAACGGAAATCCCCAACTAGTCCAGCAGCTTGGACGACTGCCCTGTCGTTTGCCTTTGTACGGCCTGTCCCCCGTTGCTCGTGTGAGCTGTTTGGCGCTCGCCTTAGTACGGCAGCCTATAGGTGAGTTGTCGCTAAAACGTATTTTACATGCTTATATCAGGGTTTACGCACTAGGCATACGCTAAGAGTATATATAATTATTTTTAGTATATTAATATCTATATTTATATAATATAGAATATAATTTAAGGCTATATATACTATTTACTAGTAGAATTATATTTTATAAATTTATAACTCTTTTTATTATATTAATTATTATTATAAATATAATATTATTAATTATTATAATTTCTATAGTTTAATTTAATAATATTAAAAAGTTAATAGCTTAAGTATTTATAAAGGCTAATATTCTTATAAATAAATAGCTTAATATTATATATAAATAATCTATATTTATATATTTACTTTAATTAAATTTAATATTAATATATAATTATAAATAAGGCTAATTATTAAATTTATTATATATTTAGAATATTAAGGTAATAATTATCTATATTTATAATAAAGAATATAAAATAACTTATTTAAAGTATTAAAATTATAATTATATCTTTATTAGCTATATCTAGCTTTAAAAGCTAGTTAAGAATATATATATAAATTATATATACTTTTTTTAAATATATTAATACTTTTTAAAAGGTATTATATAATACTATTTATATATATTATTAATAAATAATAGTTATAACTAAACTATACTTTTTTATTATATAAGAAGATATATTAAATATAGTAAGTATATATAATATTATATAAATATAATAGTAATAAATTACTATAATATTTATTAAATAGGTAAGGATTTAAGTAAAATATAGTTAAATATATATTTAAGTATACTTACTAGTACTTTATTAAATATTATAGCTAGATATAAGTAGTAATAGTTTATATATAAAAAAAAAAACTTTATATAACCCTTTTTCCTTAATTAATATTAATATTTATTATAATAAAGAAATACTACTTAAAGATAGGTATATAGTATTAAGAGTTAATATAGTAATATTTAGACTAGGATATATATCTTTATTACTACTTAATAGTATATCTATTTATATAAGAATTACTATTATTTATAAAAGAAACTATTTAAAGGCCTTTTTTAAGTAATTATAATATTTTAAATATAAAGTTAATTATAATTAATAATAAAGACCTTATTATATTTAACTTAATAAATAATATAAATATACTTTTAATTTAAATTATACTTTAAAGTCTTTTTATTAATAGTTAGGTTATAATATAAAGTATTATTTTAAATAGTATATAAGTAAGATAAGTTAGTTTTATTATAACTTAGTTAAAAATAAATAATAAAGGTATTATATTTATATTTTAGTTATTTAATATTATAATTAAAAATAAATATATTAAAAATATTCTAATACTCTAGATAATATTTAGTTTAAACTATATTAATAAATATATATTATAATAATATATTTATTTATAGTTTAAATACTAGTTATATAAAGATATATTATTATTAATTATATTAAATAGTATTAATCTTATATTATTAATATTACTAAATAAAGAATAGGAAGTTAAGGTTATAATTATCTTAAAATCCCTTTTAAGTATTATTAATTACTATATTAATATTTAGTAAATAATAATAATTAAAAGGCTTTTAATAATATTTAGGTATAATTAATTAAATAAGAAGATTATAATTAATCTTTTAATAATATATCTAGATAATTAAGAGTAATTAATAATAGGTTTATATATAATAAAAAGGGTTTATACTAATTTATAAGCTTTATTCTATAAAATAAAGCTATTAATAAAGAAAGTAATAATTTAAAAGCTAAATATATTAGATTTAAAGCTTAATATTAAGTAAGAAATTATATAAACTCCCTTTATTACTAGTAATTTACTTAACTTAATAAAGCTTATAAATAAGGTAGCTAGTAAGATAGAGAATAATACTACTAGTATTATTATATAAAAGGATATATTAATAATATTAAAAGATAAAAGGGTTTTTTTAATTTATATAAAGAAGTAAATATTAAAAAAATAAATATTATATACTATTATTTATTTTATATTTTATATTTTAAATATAGAAATAGGAAAAAAAGATAAAAATAAAGAAAATAAAAAAAAAGGGTTATTCCCTTATAATAAGCTTTTAAATTATATTAATAATAATATCTTTATATAATAATAATTTATTAAGCTTTATATAAATATTAGTAATTAGCTTTAATAAGGCTAATCTAGGAAGAGTTCTTTTAGTTTAATACTAATTAAGTTACTTATATAAATATAAGTAAATAAGAAAAAGAGGTATTTCTAGGTTACCTACCTTTAATAAACTACTAAACTTATACTAAATAATCCTATTATAGATTTAGTATATAATTTATAGTAAGTATATATTAATAGTATTATTTAATATCTTAAAGATAGAGTTTAATACTTCTATATTATTAATAGGTAGTAAGAATTTTACTAATAATCTTATAAATAAGATTATTATTCTCTATTTATATATATTATTAATTTAAAAAGACCTTTATACTTTTATATATAAATAGAATATCTATTATATATATATATAAGAAGGTAAAATTACTAGTTAACTAAATATTTTATATTATAACCTTAGCTATAATATTAAGCTAAATTATAAGAATAAGCTATAGTTATTAAGTATAAAGAAATATATTTAAATAGTTATATTAATATATATATTTATAGTTATTAATAATTACTTACTTATTAGTATTTAATAGGAATATTTAGAAAGTACTATTATTCTTTAATATATATATTATAAATACTTTAGCTATATAACTATACTTTTATAAATATAAGCTTTTAAGATATTCCTTATAGCTTTTAAGAGTATTATAACTTATTAATATTATTATAAGTTTAGTATTATATTAGTATATTATTTTAAGAAAAAAACTAGTATAGCTTAGTAATAATAGTAGTCTTACTACTATAATTAGATTATAATTAGGTAGGTATTATCTTTTATATATTTAATAGGGTAATATATTACTATATAATACTTTATAAAGTTATTATAGAAATACTAATATAGAACTAAGTAATATAATATAAATATATATTAATTCCTATATAAATCTTAAACCCCTATAGTTATAGCTTTTTATAGTTATTAATAAACTAAATTTAATTAAGACTATAGGTTTTAAAGTCTATATATAGTATTTCTACCTATTTTTAATAATCTTAAAGGTTTTTAAAGAATACCTTATAATAAACCTTATATAAAGTATTATAGTTAATATTAATATTAGCCTTATATATATATATTATAAAGAATATTTAGTTATTATTAATTATATACTACTTAGTAGTAAAATTATTCTAAAGATATACTTATACTTATTCTTATATAATATCTTAATATATAATATCTTATTATTAGTATATATTTTACTAGTAGTAGATTAAGTTAACTTAAAATAGTAATAATTAGAAACCTTTATTAAGTAGTTACTTATAAATATTAAAGTTAGTAAGGTTTTAAATAAAATATAATATTTAAATATATTTAGTAAGTTTATCTTAGTTATTTATTTATACTTATAAGTAAATATAGTTAATTTATAAAAAGTATTATAGTATTTAAAAGTAAATATTATAGTTATAGTTATCTTATAGGATATTATAAATCTTTTAATATATAAGATATAAGTTTATATATTAAATAATAGCCTTTTTAAATAAATTAAGGTTAATTATAGGATATAGTATCTTAAATAAGATAATATATATATATAGGTATATATAAAAGGTTCTAAAAGGAAAAAAAAATAGAAAAAGTATATTTATTTTAAAGTATTATATAAGTAATATAAATATTACTTATATATATACTATTTTATAATATTATATATATATATTATATATTTATTTTATAAAAAGAATTCTATAATATTCTATTCTAGACTTACTTATATATATAATATTATATAATCTTATATATATATATTATATATTTATCTTATAAAAAGAATTCTATAATATTATATTTTTAACCTATTTCTATATATACTATTATATAGTATTATTAATATAGACTATAATAGCTATTATATATATACTATTATATAATATTATATATACTTATTATTAAAGTATTAAATAAACTTAATATCTATTTCTATATTTTATATATATAGCTATAAGTATAATATTTATTCTTAATACTTAATATCTATTTATAGGTATTCTATATCCTCTAACCTTTATAAATACCTTAAAATATATATAAGTATATATAACTAATTAACTAAACTTTTCTTAAAATTTAATATAGTAAAAGGCTATAATAGTATATATAAGTATATAAGGTTATATATACTTATATACTAATACTACTACTAGTATTCTTATAAGTAACTATTAATATTAGTAAATAAATATTATATAATATTATATATAGTACTTACTATAATTATTAGTAGCCTAGGTAACTAACTAGAATAGGTATATAAGCTTATATATAGTTATAAAAGCTATATTAATATTAGTAATTATACTTATTATATTACTTTTAATAATATATATACTAGTAATAGTATAAGTATACTTCTTTTTAATAAAGGGGGGGGGTAGTTAACTT